AGAGAGGTATGATTTAAAGCAAAACAATGAAGCATCAATTATTTTAAAAAATACTATAGTTATAAATTATTACATGATATTATAAGATTACATCATAACGTATTGTTATATAATTAATTTTTTTATTTAAAAATTCATCTGTGATATTTTATGCATTAACTTATTTCATATTACATGAAATCATATTTCATTAAATGCCATATAAGATTACAAATTTATAATTCTATATAACATTATAATTATAACATTTCCAAATTATTTTATATTGTTTCAAGCTTTTTAAATTCTATGTCTCTTCAAGCCAATATTCTATATATCAACACTTACAACGGGAGTTGCCATTTAGTTTCCTCTCATATTTTAAATATTTAATATTTTAAAAGAGAGAAAATTAAGACATCCTAACATTTAAAATATTAGAACATCTAATTACAGCTATTAAATATATAAGACATAATATAAACTTTAATTTTATTAAATTTTGTTGAGGTGTGTTGGTGATGTAGGTTGATGACTCAGCAGTAGTGATGATGTGGAGGCTGACTAGGATGACAATCGAGTAGATGAGGAGGGGTTCTTTTGGTGGCACCTGTCTCACGTGCACATGGCTACGTACTACGAGCCATCCCGTTCTATCTAGTGATGATATCACACAGCTGGCTCCCTAGTGAAGTTGTAGAACATAAATCCCCTGGCCAAGCTACTAGAGCTGAACTATGACAGCAAACTTCTTGTAGACTTGGAATGATTACACAACTACCAAAACCATTAATAAGAGTGCGCATATATGGCTGGGAGGGTGACGAAGATAATAAACATATGGGGTACAAAGATTACAATTTTGAAGTTACATTCACATAGAACACTATGACATAATAGTAATGACACCAAATAAAACCTCTGTCATCTCTAGTGGACATTTTCACTCTATAACGCACAACTCTCATGTTGAACACGAAGGACGTAATGACTTCAAAATTTCTTTAGGAACAAAGAAAACGAAGAGGATAAACTTGAAAATAGTGATGGGAGAAAGAAAGGTATTTGCTTGGGGACGATTATGGGCGGAACTCTCAATCCTGTTCTTTGATGCTAACCATGCGGCTTGATCATCTGATGCTCAAGAAGAATTACATGGGTGATGGAACTGTAAACTGTTGTTTCCTAGTCGTAAGATCTTGTAAATCTGGGAGTACATGGGTGATGGAACTGTAAACTGTTGTTTCCTAGTCGTAAGATCTTGTAAATCTGGGAGTACTCTGCAATATTGGAGACTATCATGCAAGGCTGGAAGTCATTTTACAAGGTTGAAAAATATAGAGAAACGATGATTTCTGGGTAGCTTTTAACATGTGGGATGATGGATTGTAGGTGGAGTAATTTTTATGAGAAAAGGAGAATGGGGATCTGATGCGTGGGAAGAAAAATCTAGGTTCTCTCTTACGTCCTCCTTTTGAATGGTA